AACACGAAGAGTTAAAACATCCCTCTATTAATCCTTTGACTGCCACGCCAAAATCACATACTTCGCTGAGGAAGCCACGAGAGTGCACCGCTACATGCAAGATTTGTTCTAATATGTCCTTCATCGCCATTGCAATACAAATTTTTAATTGTTCAATGTGACACTTTCTATTTCAAAGTATCTTCTAATTAGCGGTTATATTCAAAATGCACTAGCTGTCAATTTTCATTCAATTTTTACAATTCCAAGTAGTTCTTGCGCTCCCGTCAGCAATGACCACTATGGCGTCACAAGAGAGACCGTGACCAGTCATATATGACCAACGTGACAGTCAAAGTGTTAATTTTTCTATAAATTAAAGTATCGAGAATCCTGTGAAGTATGCATCCCGCGGCCTCAGCATCCACTTGTTTAGCATGCATTATTCTCCAACCGTGATGCCGTTCGTCACGAAGCATGGTTGTCTGGAAAACAAGATAGAGACGCAAAGGCAGCAGCCCGTAGCCCGATTACGCGTTATCACGAGGCTCATTATATTTGCGCGTGTGGGCAATTTATGCGTACGAACGTTACCACACGGCCATCCCTTATCGCGGTGTCAAGGGTCGTCCCGACGTCGGGATCGCCTCTCACATTCATTGCAAGGGAGATTAATCATTGCCTCGGTGATAATCTATCGCTGTATAAATTACCAGCACCGTGTATTAAGATACCAGTCCGTAAATTGAATTTTCTTCTCAACGAGCCACGATTTTTCCAGAAACGGAATAGCAGAGATTCGCTCAATCGAACGGGAGAATTATCTGAACATTATCCAGCGATTCGCACCTATCCCCGAATCGCGATGCACTAACCGGAGATAAAGAGAATTGCGAGTGAAATGCGAGGCGATTAAAATTTTAAATCGCAGATCCGCAAGATTAGATCGCAGATATAAGCTTGTCTGTTTCAGCGGTAACAGCGTAATAATAAGGATAATTTAACGGCGTGAAAATACACAGCAACGGGCGTGTATAACGTAGAGAAAACGAAAAACAGGAAACGCGTGCACTCCTCGATACGATCTAATGTTAGACAGCACCGAAAGTTCGAGGTCGTTTCCGCGCCGCATGGAAAACGTTCACTCTCGACAAACACAGAGGGAGTCGCCAGATACCGTTTCTACCCCCGTAAATTAGTTTTCTTAGGCGCAATTAGTCGTCGTCGATCACTGAGACGAGCCTCTGTTACCGATCGGTGAAACCTTTCGGCAAATCTGCTCGTAAATCGTCCCCGAAACCTCGTTCCTCTAATAAATAACGTAGCACGTCTATTTTCGTCAGTCGTACCTTTTGTTCGAGAAAAAGATCATCCAGCCTATCAACTGTCAATAAATATTTGCAATTGTATACCTTCCAACAATTTTTCCAAGTCCAGAAATACTCATCTTCCATTATACGACGGATTTTCATGAAAGAAGCAACTCCTGGGTGAAAAGGAATATGGCGAATGGCTCTCGATATTCTTTCAACACTTCGCTGGCCGCTGTCGCGCATGCGCGACTTTTCTTCGCCAACGGTTATCGGCCGCTGTCACGTACGCGTGACCGGTTTTTAGCACGACAACAATACTTCCACTATGTTTTCGTTTTAACCGTCCCAATCGTCTTTTCTCGACATTCTTTAAGTAGAATCCTGTTAGTCTCAGATCTTAGTGCCTTTTTTAATACTAACCATACCGCGTATACGAAAAATAGCGAAAAATTACAGTCAGTGAGCACTAGAATCCGCACGAAATTCGCCAGCGGTAGCGTAAAGGCGAAGTGAACGGCCGGCAAAGTGTTAAATAGGGAATAATATCCACTTTTCAATATCCCATAACGTTATCCTCGGTCATGTGACACGTGACGAGTAAAAAATCACGATGAAACGAATCATCGTCACGTCGTGTGATATGAATCAGAGAAGCAACGTTATTACCGGAATATTCCGAGCGAATCACCGACTTACCCCTAATGCCGCACATAAATTGCGCGAAAGCCATCAACAGCCAACAAACAGCTTAACTAAATTACCCTCATCTGCAACTGGACACGACAAACACTCGGCTCGGTTAATTAGGCAAAGGACAGCGAACGTTCGGGCGACACGCGAGTGCTTCTACAAGATGGCGCGGACGCGCGACAATCCTCGCCGTGGAAGGCGCATCGCGGCTGCAATTAGGGAAATCAACGCAACGCGTGGTCAGTTAACTTAACGAGTGAATGACTAACGGAGATCCTTATCTTCCGGACCCGGGAACCGAGGGCGGTAAACGTCCGGCTGGTTAATACGGTTTGTTTATGGCGGCGATACTCGCTGCAGCCACGACGTACCATAAATTCGACGACGACGGGGGCTGTTTGCCCCCGGTGCTGACTGACGCTCGGCAATGACTCACGGCACAAGGGTGGGTTTACTTAGGTTTGACGCTCTCTCGACGACGGACGAAACGAACCGTCTGCGTTTACATTCGGTTCCAGCAGCCGGGGACCAGGGGTGTTATAAACGATCCGCTGTTTCTGCCGCAACTTTTATCTCCAAAGTCATCTTCCTTCTCCCCTTGTCCTTCAAACGGAGATTCATCTATGTTAATAAAACGTCGGTCGGGGACGCGAAATTTCGTTATCAATCCTTGACGCTCGGAGAAGTGTTTTCATGGTAATTTAAGGGCTACTTGAGAATTTTTACCTACAGCTCGGGGGAAATTTTTGGGGAAATAAAATTAGCGGAATGTCGTTGACTCGGGCACGGGTGTTTCGGTGGGTTTCAATGGGGGACGTTGACAATTTTTTCGCAGTGCACAGCAAGAGGAGTGCTCGAACATGTGGAAATGCAAATACCGAGGATAAATGAGAAATTCGAGGGATCAGGGTGAACATCGATGTGGTGAATGTAAGCACGTAAAACTATCATTTGCGTTTGAATTCTTTCTATGGCGTCATCCTCTGGTCGGGTTACTTTGTTCCATTGCCAGACAGAAGAATGTAGCCACTTGTTCGAACCTCTTAAACAGGAGGGGCCTTTTTTGTTTTATACAAACTGAAGTGCACGTCTCCGGAACCCCTGTTTATATTCAAGCATGATTTAAAGGACGAAATATTTACCCAAGCAGATTTTTACGTCAAATGATTATGACTCGAGTATCCTTTAGATTGAAACATAAATATCCCCTGATATTTTAGTGGGAAGAAAAATAATAAAGAAACGGAAAAAACGGAATGTGTTTGTTTTGAGTTAAAAAACGAGCAAACGATGATGGAATTATTTTCCTTATCTAGCTGTCTATTACAAACGTGCTCCATTCGAACGCTGCGACATCTACATCTCGTGGATTTATTTATTTTTATTTATCATAGAGAAAATAAATTCTGCGAATTATAAAATGTACATGCATCGATGCTCCGACTTACCTGTGCCCAGTCAGAAATTGAAATACGATTTTATAGAGAAATAAAATCACTAAAAGAAGAGAAGAAATAATAAGAATCGAGAGGATATCGAGGAAGACTCTCAGGATATGCAAGCAATGAACGCAAGGAACTTAAATAATAATAAAGTATATTAAAAATCGTATACAATTTTGATTTCAATATATGCATATGTATAACGATATGGTCATCGGTCGTCGGTTACTCGTTAACTACTATGGCAACGTAAAAACTTGTACAAAGATGGCGGTCGAGCGGTAGAGTCGGACCAGAACAGAGGATCCATAGTATTTCAAGGAAAAAAAAAAAAGAACATAAAAGCCAAACGAGGAAAACGTACAAAAAGAAAAATAGAGGGAGACACGACTGTTTCGAAACTGCGAAATATACTTGCCCTATCACAGGAGCATTTTCTGTACGAAGAGAAAGAAACGAAGAAAAATAACACCTAATGAACCAACACGATGGATGAAATTCCGGGACACACTCGTTACACACAGTATTTTCCATTTTATTGACAATCATCGTGACAAAAAGTGGCTTACAAATACTCGTTATAAACTCCTCCCTCTCCTTCCTCTAACGTCGCGTTCGTTCTTTTCGTCGCATCAATCGTTCTCTGCCATCGCGATAGCAGCGCGCTCTGTCGCGCTTCCCATCTCTCTCCCACTCCACCGTCCACCCGCCTTCTCTCCCTCTCGCTCGCCTCCAACGTCCCATCCCGTCCCGTCTCGCTCCTTCCTTCCCGTCTGATCGTCCACGAACGCGACATTGTCCGTTTTCGCTCGTAACAGCTTGGCGTGATATGTGACACTAAAGGTTCTTTACTCTCACTACTTTACAACATTACACGTGTACGTTTTCGTTTGGCAGGGGTCCCCGTCCGGGATACGATACGGGTCGTGTTTTTTTTCGTTTTATTCTTTTTTTGTTAAGTGGCTTGAGGCAGTTATCGTTTTTCAGTCCTTTTGTTTCATTCCGTTTCTTTTTCGTTCCTTATTCCATTCCCGTGTTCGTCCCGCGTGCACGCGTTCCCACCTGCTCCACTCGCGAGACATCTCGCGGTCGATCGCGTGAGTCAACGAAATTTCAACGGCCACGGCTAAAGAAACGCCAACGCTGGCGCGGGGGACAGAAAAAGTACATAACCGAGATGTTTCTCTCTCGCTCGCTATTCGTCGCGTCGAAGGAATCCTCGACCACGCGATCGCACGCGACTCGACCTTGGACATGTCCCGTGAAAGGGAGCACCGATAAGAGACCTATACTCTCGGGAATCGTACTTTTCCTTCCAATCCTCCCCTTTCTCCCTCCAGCGATTAGAAAAATTGTGAGATATCGACATCGCGTCGCGGAAGCGCGCGCGCCCTCGCGCCGAGGTCCCGCGCACGCTTCTACGATCATATATATATATATATATATTTATATATATTTATTTATATATTTATATTTATATTTATAATGTATCTGTAATATATATATTTACGTACTTAACGATTTCCTCGTTTATCCGATTTCGCACTCTGTCAACAGCTACTTGCCTATTGCGCGGACACAGAAAACACGCGAACGTGTGTGTATATGAATTGCCTGGATATTTTTTTTTTTTTCTTTTTCTTCATCCTTTTACCTACGATTTACTCTCGGGTTACACAGAACATTTTCTCGTCCTTTTCTCTACGACGTGCGAGTATGTACGAATGGTTGTGTACGTGTGAGCGTGTGTGTGCCTCGGTGGTATGCGTGTGCGTGTACACACGGCTGGAGTCCCTGCTAGAGACGGAAAGCCGTGCAAGGTACAAAAAAACAAGTGTCATTTGGAATCGTGTTACCTCTGCACTCCTGTTTTTTGCTGCTACGTTTAAAACGTGTGTGTGTGTGTATATATATATCATATACATATATAAAAATATATATAAAACGGTAAAGGTTGAGGGGGGGGGGGGGCTCCGTTCGGCAGTAAAAAAGTCGCGTTCGACACCCGAAATCGTGCTTCGACGTATGTATACGTGTATACATACCGTAAACACACGTTTCGTTTTCTTTTCTCGACGCATTTACGCTTCGATCGACGCGTTCCTTCGCCCGCGGCAAGACTAGCAGCTCCCTTCGAAGCTTCTTTTTACGGTATTCCAATTGTTATTCGATACCCATTACTCATTGCACCAAACGTTTGACAAGAGACTCGTTTCATCGGCCATCGAAACTCTCTTCGAAGGATACGAAACGAATTCAGAGGTTCACGGATAAATGCGCAAAAAGGAACGCGTCACCGTCGCGACTGCGCATGCTCGCGTCTGTACATCGTATTAAATTCGTGTCGACCGATAAATCGTTCTCTGATGATCGTTCTCTCACCATTTCTCTTTTATATTTACAGCAGTTTACCTAACATCTAAGAATAATATTTACAGTTACCTTTCGTTCTCCACCTTTCCTTCCTTCCCTTATACGTCTGCGCTATACACTTGCACGTCGCACTTCATACGATCGCCGGCGGTGAGCCTGTATTCGTGGCTCTACGGAGTACTTTCATTGGTCGAGATGATCAGTCGATCCCCTCCTCTCCCGCACCGACACACGTTCGCTTCGACCGTTCGACTAGCGACTAAATCGTATGAAATTACAAAAACACGCGACGCGGAATGCCGGACCACCGCCGTAATCCTTAAGTAACGACATCTAAAAGTCCGTGTTTTACACCTATACTTCTGTTATGGCTAGGTTAGATAAATAGACGAGACGATACACGTTAGACGGACATGCGGACTGTACGAGCTCCGCTACGGTATATAAGTAAGAAAGAGTACAGATAGATACGAATAAGAGAGAATTTCTGTCACGCGTCCCATTCGCTCGATTCACTCACTCGTTAAACCACATTCGATCCACGCACTAACGTCACAATCTCACTACACCGGCCGGTCTCGAGCGCCATGTTGCGCACCGTCGCCCTCTGGTGTCGCCGCGTCGAGGGTCCAAGTATACCATATATATATATATATACCGACTGCTCCGGTGGTAGAATTCGAACCGCGTTCGCGCTACGCGTCTCACCAATTACAGAAATTTCAGCGCTAAATTCACGAGATTGGTAAAAAGGATCGTTAGCCTACGTGTACACGGGTTAAAAATGACGTAGAAATAGAAAAGAAGCGGCTCGAGACCGGCGGAAAAGACACGTACGGGCTAATACGTATATCGGGTAATCGAGAAGCACCGTCGCGAGTCATCGACGCTGTTCGACGCGTCGTGAAGCGCCACACGTCGGTGGTACCGAGAAACGCATACACCCTCGACGACCCCCTTTCTCCTCTTTCATTTCGGCATACTGTTAAGAACGGTGACAAAGTTGCTATCGAAAATCGATTCATACTTCGGTGGCCTGGGTGTACGAGGGTGCGAGTCCGTGAGCTGGCGTGAGGGGGCCCGTGGACGCCAACGACCTCCTCGAGTATATGGTAGCCGCCGAGTGTGGCGTGTGTGGCGCCGTGTGCGGCGCCGTATGCGGCGTGTGCCTGCGCGAGGCCGAGGCGAAGGGCTAAATGGGCCCGTAGTTACTAAGGGCGGAAGGCCTCTCCTGTTGCACCGACTGTTGCTGTTGCTGTTGCTGCGGCTCGCAGCCAGCGGTGTTCATATCGCCCCCCGCCGACTGGTGACGTCATACGTGCGACAGAGGGGGTTGCTTGAGGACGTGATGATGAAGATGATGCTGAGACGCGCTGGCCACGCTGCCAGGTGGAAGTAAAGCGCTGCCGGGGCCCGGTGCTGGTGGATACGGCACTCCGACACGTCCGACGACGCCCTTGATGCTGGTGCTGCCGATGCCTCCGCTGACGCCTGTCACGCCTGCTACCATACCGGCGCCACCGCCTCCGTGACCGCCGCCTGCGCTCCCGCCGCTGAACAAACGCCTCCATAGACGTTTCCACGAGTCGACGGTTTTGCCGCTCCAGATCCACACGCCTGACGTGATGCCTACCGCGAGCGCCATAAAGTACTTGAGCATCAGGACGGAGTAGAGAGGTCTTGCTCTTGGTCGACAGGGGCATGCCAGCGAACCGAGCCACTCGTTTCGTAACGTCGTCTCGTACATGTGACAGGCCAACACTACTCCGGCTGGTAGCGTGTACAGAACGCTGAACACGCCGATGCGTATCATCAGTTTCTCCAGTTTGTCCGCCTTCGCTCCCGGCTGTCGTTTTATCACCGAACGGATCCTGAACAGGCTCACGAATCCTGCCAGAAGGAAGCTCGTTCCCAGCAGAAGGTACACGAACAAGGGTACCAGAATGAACGACCGTACTCCTTCCGGGGCTACCGTACAGACTCCTGCCACTGGATCCCCTGCCACTCCCCCGGCCAGGTACGCCGAGAACGTCTGGACCGCTGGTGCTAGCCAGGCCGCTAGATGGAAGTACTGCGAGTACGAGGCTATCGCCTCGTTGCCCCATTTCAGACCCGCTGCCAGGAACCACGTGAACGCGAGGATCACCCACCAGACCGACGACGCCATTCCGAAGAAGTAGATCATGAGGAAGACGGCGACGCAAGCTTCCGGGCCCTGTGCCCTGGACTTCAGTGCCAGTCCGTCGCAGGCTATCTCCTCGTGGCCGAACACGCTCCTGGACAGGTAGCCGACCGACACGGCGAAGTAGCAAGCTGACAGGAACACTATCGGTCTCTCAGGATACTTGAAGCGCTGGGTGTCGATCAGAAACGTGGTGACGGTCACGAGCGTGCTTGCGGCGCACAGGCCGCTCCACAGAGCCAGCCACACGGCCGCGAACTCGCGCTCTTCTGGGGTGAGAAACGCCCCGTGGCACGGGAGAGCGCAGTTCGGTACTCCGGCAATGTCCTGGATGATGCTCCGAGCGATGCTTATCGGTGGCGCCGGTATGACCCCACTTACGGCCATGCCTGCCAGACCAGCCCCGTTGCCTATGTTGCCGGTGCTGCTGCCGCTTATCGGTCCCGGAATGACCGTGCCCCCCGCCCCCAGGGGTACGAGGGGTGCCCTGCAGCGGCACGCGCAATCCCTCGCCCTTTCCCCCGGGGGATGTTGGCAGTTTTTTTGATTTTTGCCTGGCTTGCACCGCGGTGGTTGGGTCGTCTTCGACGGCCTAGTTGGACGCGGTGGCGCTGCTGGCAGAGGGGCGCTGCTCGCTGCTCCTCCGTTCCCGGACCCATATCCGGTGCTGCTGGTATGATTGTCCTGTTCCATGCACAGGTTCTCCGGGTCTCCGTGAGTCGGTAGTCTCTCGCAGGCCATTCTCTCTGGCCAGGAGAATCCGTACTGCTGCATCAACGGCGCGCAACCGGCTCGTGCTCTCTCGCAAACGCTCCTACAAGCTGGCAGAGGTTTCGTGTACTCGGGCAAGCATATCGGAGTGTACATGGAGCACAGGAAGAACTTCAGATCCGGCGAACACTTGATCTCCACCAACGGCCAGAACTGGTGCACCTCTAGACCGGCCTCTTCCTGGTTGTCGTGATTCAACTCGTTCGGCATGGCTGTCAGATTGTACCCGATTCCTCGACACATCGGGATCGTGATCTCCTCGCATCTGCCGTTCCCATTCACCGTCCCGCCACCTAGCGACGAGTGCCCAACGCCGCTACTGCCACCCCCGACCACGCTGTTTCCAGACCCTACCATGCTGCCGGAAGCGGAGCCACTGCCAGGCACGACGCCCACCATCGACGACGAGGAGGCGGAAGAAGAGGACGACGAAGAACCGCTCGATACCGAGCCCACGTTACTCACTGGACTGATTGCTGATTCTAATCGCGCGTTCGATAATACTGCGAGCAGCAGCAACGGCAATAGGGACGCCATCGTTCGGCTCGGAAGCAGCTTCGTCCGTCGAACGAATCCCATTTTCGTAGCTTGATTTCGCTTACGCCTGTGTGGGTCGCATCACTCCGGCCTGCAACAGAAAACGTCGTTTCGTCAGTTTATTAGTCGTCAAGACTCAATTGATCGTGAAAATCTTCTCATATTTATCGAATTTTTCAAAATACTTCTTTGACAGGAAATTGAGTTTGTGTGAGTTGTTGTCAATTGCCAACACCCTCACGGTTATTGACCTCGACTGATCGCAGGTATCTTTATATGACAGTAGTACTAGCAGGGATGAAAGGAAAATGGAGGGATGCGTTTCGTCCTGGGCCTGCTAGATCAGGTGAGACTCATCAGTAAGGCTACCTAGCAGGCCCTGCCTTAGATCGGGAAATTATACATATGTACGAATTGGAGGTTTTCCGAGAACTTGCGAGAAAGTTCTCCAACCTCCTTCAAGTCGGAATCCATCTAGTGGCATGAGTCAGAATGATGATTGCCACAGACTGTTACCGCTCACCAGTTTTCTCATTTTTCGCGCGCCATCTGTGATTATCTTAGATTATCTTACATATCAATACACTGTCTTGTCAAAACGCATGGTCCCTGGCTTATGTCTTAAAAATTTTTATGCGGCACACAATGTGTTAATGAAATTTTCCGGCGATGCTTCCACAAAGACATGTCATACGGTCAGAATAGTCGGATTTCGGATGATCTTTTACGTCTTACGGGAATTAGACACCCGGGACTCGTTCGACTAACATACGGTAAGTAAGTGGGAAAATATTCCGGAATAATTCGCGATATTTTTCGCGTCGTCGCGTGTTTTAACACGTTGCTCGCTAACGCGTGTGTCACTGGCGCTAGCCAAACACGAAATGTTCTAGCTGGCGCATACGATGTATGCGTATCAATTAGGTTAATGGATGGACGTTAACGCACCGTTATCTTTCAATCTCTCTGCAGTCGCGTTTCCTCGAATACTGTTGTTGTCTCCCAATTCATACTCGTAATTGGAGCGTATTGATAAACTTCCAACTATGCTCCAGAAATGACCAACTTATCGATTGACTTATCGGTTTCGTTCTATCCAAAAGCCCAGTCGAAGCACGTGTTCGAAGCAATCTTTTTGTAACTCTTCCGTCGTTATCTCGTACAAATAACGAGATTTCGATTGTTTAGTCGATTCTACAATAATCTGTGTCAATTACCATGTTTTCTACGAGACTAACAAGTGTCCTGATATTTATAGACTGAAGAGGAACAGTGTTTCTCAATTTTTCTAAAAATCAGAAGCTTCTGTCCGTCTTTATAAAATAAATAAATACTAAAAATCGAGTAAAAGTGATCATCGAGCCCCCCAGAAAATATTTCGTGGCTGCGTCGAAGATCAGGATCCACTACTTTTCAATCAGTATAGAGTAACTATCAAACCGGTCAAAATGATTGGTTTCAGACTTTTTGTTTCCTCAATTACTGCAAGCATGTAACCACTTTTAGGAAAATTAATGTTGACTTTTATTAGGCTAGACTGTAATTATATATACCCATTTCTAAGCAATTGCATTATCCAATTATTCCTAATTATATTATCAGATAACTACATAATTATATACAAAATTACCTTCATCGTAACGCTGTAATTAGTCGCCTATCTACGTATGAGATATTCTGGCATACGTTACACCGGTATCCCAGGGTTAACATCGTTTTAGTACACGTCGACTTTAATTAACGCGAAGTTCCGACCACGTGGAAAGAAACGGAGGAACCACGCTTCGTTCCCGAGTAGTTAACTCGCTGAAAATTAAATGGGAAAGCGAAAAAGGGAGCCACGCGTTTCGAGACTCGGCAACGAGGAACATAAATCAGGCAAAAATCCACAGGAAGCCCACGGGGATGTAGGAAAAGGAGCAAAAGCACGAGCGGGCAAAAACAAATCAAGCCTCGCGAGCCACACACGAACCACAATAGAACAAAAACCGTGATCCTCCCCCGCGCTACGCCTATCTCACCCCGTCATCAACCCCGCGTGGATCCTCGTTGGAACAAGGCCGAACAAAAACGTGTTCGATCTCCGAGCCGCTTACGATGGTCCTAATTAAAGCCGACGAAATGGTTCCGGCGGTGAGGAGAAAAAAGACAGGGGCCGCTGGAACTAGCATAACATTATATAACGCAAACGGTTCGAGTCGATCGGGCGAACCGGTGTGTGCTCGTATTTGCATAACCACCCGACGAATCCCGATTCGTTAAGAGGCCGCCGAAAGACGCGACCGTCTGCGACCCTAACGAACACGAAGGGCGCGGGTTCAGGTGGCTGCCGCATAAATCAACGTCCGACGAGGCTAGATCCTCCGCTAGAGATCCCCGGGCAGACGGGTGCGCTGCTGTCTGCACACGCACACACCCACCATCGCTAAAGCTCGAGGGAAAAGGAACTCGTCCCGATTGGCAAGCCATACGCGTCCCCGGCGGGTATCTCTCGTGAGGAAACGGCGAAGAAACGGCGAGGAATCGGTGAAGAAACGTCGGAGTGAAATCAGACGAAGGGGGTGATGAGGCAAGTCGGGCAGACACGACGTGACGAGCGAATACGACTCGAGAGTGAAAAGGCCAACGTGCAACGGCAATAGCACCAGGCCACGAGACGACGACAGTCGTGTATCTTATAATAGTCGGGCCGCGGAAAACACGTGACCGGAGCGAAATGTTATTGTAGGAGGCGGTGTTAGTTTTACCGTTTGTTAACTGCTAGCACCCCGACGCACGCGCTCCCGTCGCTATTTATAAGCTTCAACCCGGTGCTGCTGTTGCATCTTCGCGAGAACGTCTCTCCCATTCGGCTACGTGTGTGGCGAGCGCGAGATTGACGCGCGCAAGGAAAGGATCACGGAAACGGACGCGTGGTCTCGGGTAGGAAGGATTCGAGAGGGTTCAAAGAGTAAAAGGTTGCACGACGGGACGTGCTTTTTCCGTTTCTCATTGGCTTCCGGTTTAACTGGTCTGACGAGGAGAGCGCGAGTCCTTCGGGTCGTTGATTTGGTTCGAACTTTTGCAGAAATCTAGTCATCCAGTTCAAGAAAATGTCGAGAAAATGTATAATTATAGGGGCAATTGCTCGATAGTTTTTGAGGTGTTTATGCTTGACCCTTTGACTATGGCAGACTTTGAAACACACCAGCTATATTATACGGTTGGAATCCCATTTGAGATACACACGAAGAACGGTAAAACTTTTCGTTAGATGTGCATTTGTGAGAAATTATTGTATATTCGAGTAATAATAAAAGCACTATATTCCATTATATTAAAACAACGTTATTTATTTCTTCGTATCCTGCATTAAATTGTTACTGTACATATTTAGAATTTAATAACAGAAGAGACTTCTGAGTGCCTTTAGGCGCCCTCAGTATTACAAGTACAAGATTTCTAAGTGCCTTTAGGTATCCACAGTAGTCAAAGGGTTAAAAGCTTTATTATTCTTAACTACAATTTTTTCTGAATAGTTATCCATATTTACCAAGTGCCATTGTGGCTTAACAACGATAACAGAAGACTCCTACCCCAATGGGCTTGGGGTTCGATCCCATCCATAATTAATAGTTTTCTTCTCCATATACTTTTTATTCTGTATTAATTTTTCTCCAGTGAAAACATATAATTTTAAATAAATTACAAATAAGATTATTTAATAAAAAAAATATTTATTTATTATTGATTACAACAGTGGTACTCATTGTAGAAGCAGGGAAAGCATAATCACATCAACATCTTGTACACCGATGTAAGTGGAATATTATTATCATTATAAACAAGAACATTTACTGTTTGTTAATAATTCTTTTGGAAAACAAAATGTCAAATATATACCAGCATGAGAAAGCGTAAAAAAATAAATTGTTTTGTTACGAAATTTTATTTACAATTAATTTAAAATGATTTCTTTTCACGGGCGAAAAATTAATAGAAAATAAAAGAAGATTGAAAAAAGAACTATTAATTACCGGATTAAATTGCGAATACCGGCGTGGCAATTTTCGGATGTCGTCGTTAGACCACAACGTCACTCGACAATTATTCGAAATAAATCTGTAATTAAGGTAGTAATACAATTTTAATCGTAAATATTTCAAAAATTATTAAGTAGGTGCGGTTATAACGGTATATTTCCTTAAAGTGCATGACGAGATCTACAAACTTGCCGAGTTTGAACTAAATCAATGACCCTAAGGATCTGCGCTCTCCTTGTGAGCCAATCTCGTGGCCCGGGTTCATCGCTGACAATGGCATTCAAGCGACTGCACGGGACGAGACCCGGAGGATCGAGGATCCTCGAGAGCTGCAGTTTTGAACGTTGCAATCCGCAAGTGGCCAACCGTGGATCATCGCCGACGTCGGCGTCGTCTCCCGCGCCGCTTTTAACCACGAAGAAACGCACAAAAAGCGCCCCCACCCTGCCATGACAGCATTCAGGCACGAGAAAAGGTCAACCGGCCGGAACGAGAATTCGATATTCATGGCCGCCGGCTCGTAACATCTGAATGGCCGGGTTTTAATCGGTCTCTCGCGCTGCCTGCGCCTTCAGGTTCGCCCGGGCACCCCCCGGTCTTCCTCGCACCCCTTGCGTAGCGATATTTGGAAACACGTGACTCACGCGGGGAGCACCCACGCCTGCCGGGAGCACGCACAGCCCCTAAAATTCGCGAGCCCGTAGTTTCCGGTTAATCGACACGTGACGGATAACGCAGGCCTGGAATTTTTCTTCCGTGACGATGGCAGCGCGCCCTCGTTTTCCTCGCGAACCAACGACCGGCGACGACGCCCCCTTATGACTGCAATTTCCAGATCGATCGTTTTGCAGGCATTTCCTACGAGTAATAACGCGAATTTTTCAAATTTATGCATCCGTTGCTGTACGACGTGAGAAGCTATTTAGCTCCCCTATCCTTCGTCTAAATGTCTATACCGTGGACGATCGGCTCGATTATAATGCGCCGCTCGGAAAGTATGGCCGCCGCGCGGTGAAAAATTGCCACGCGATATTCTTATGACACGTTCTTGCAGCACCGTGTTTTTCTC